CTGTTTTTGGTACCACATGTTTGGTGCCATAAGAGAATGGTTGAGCAATCTTGTCTTGTTGTAGCTTGATTGATGCAGGTGGTTTTCGGATGGTAATAAGGCCGAATTTAACGGGCATGCGGCAAATCAGTAACATAGGCTGGATGTGCGTACCTAGTGCCGAATCTAAAGCTGTGCTCATAGGAAATACTTCATTGTGGGTGCCTTCACCAATTTCATAGCTTTTTATTCGTCCACCCTCATAGGCTCTTCCCTATTCGATAAGCTAGGTCATTTTTATTCTCCATATTAATGGGCAGAGGCCTAGCTTCATATTGGAATTGTGACCTGATTTGGTGTATTTATCAGTTCCAAATTAAAACACACCCGCAAAAGCACGAATTTTGCCCTTTGTTGTGCAAATAAGCAGAAAACCTCCAAGTTTTTATCGTCAACTAATTTCTCTGCTACTGTCATTATTTAAGTAGGCATTACTATTGCTTCTATGTTTCAGACACCATACTTCCGCATCTCTGTGATCGCTGACGAAGTAGGAGCGGAATTGTGTGGTGCCCTTAAAAACATTGTTGCCATTGGTGCTGGATTGGGCGAAGGTCTGGGTCTTGGAGAGAACACCAAGGCCGCGATCATTCGGCTGGGTTTCATGGAGATGAAAAGATTTATCTTCCAGTTTTTCGGCAAAAGAGGTAAGTACTACGGTGTTCCTCTTTTTGGCCGCTTCTCACGCTCACTCAGTAAAATATTGGTGTCCTTATACAATAAGGTCTGGTAGATTCAGCTTGTTTCCGCTCCAGTGAGTAAGAGCTCGGATTGCTTAATCGCACAAAGAAGGAAAAGCAAGTTGCAAAAATATGTTTGTTTAAATCAAATCCCATTCCCAAAAATTAAGTAGTTTTATTGCGCTTTTAAGATGGATCATTAGCTGAGTGTGATTAGTTGTCTTCTTTTGTGAGATTTAAGCACAATTTATTGGATGACCCTTATTCCATTCAGAAATATAGAGCCGCGATTATTCCGGAATTTCGAAGACCTTATCAAACATCTTTGTTTATTCAATGGGGCTTAGATTCCTTCTGCGCTTTGGACTTTTTGGACTTCCTCTATGAAGTCTGAAAAACAGGTTTTTTAACTCAAATCAGAAGTACCTATCAGTGGTTTACTCCACTTTTATCTTTATCATTTCTAGGGCTTCTTAATTTCTTTCCACTTAGTCATTAACCGTGGTTTGGAATTCAGAGTGGAATTATTTATTCATTTCCCCGTGGACTTAGCGTTAAACCTATTTACACTTTTGTTCATAGAGGAAGTGAACGGCTGAAAAAACCTTTCGACGCGCATTACCCAAATTTCCAAAAGCCTAAAAATGTGTAGCTTGAAAGCGATTAGGCACCCGCTTCAATTCAACGAAAGTGGGAACAATTTTTTGCCACCATTTAGTATTTTAGCTGATTCATGTATTTCTTCTGTTTGTATCTGGGACAGTAAATTACACGATCTTGAAGCGAATTTTTGGTGTGATGAATTGGCATTTTCCTTCCGTAAGACAACGAAAAACATCCAGATGGATACTTTTAATTTACTTAATTAAAATGCATTCACACACACAAAAACACAAAGGCAGGGTTTGCACCCCTTTCATTACTCCTTTATTAACGCATTTGAGCCCCATTTGTCTCCAGCATTCAATTAGTCTCTCCATAATTAGTAGGTGAAGTGACTTTTTTATGGACGAATTTGAATGAATTGGGACGTAATGTTATGGGGAAGCTGGATTTTGTTTTGGAATGACTGTGTATCCTTTTTTTGAGTTTAGATTGGATAAGTCTACGCTATCTGTTTTAATTCTTGTTGACCATTTTTGACGGATCGGTGCGCTGGAGCGTGTTTTGTCTTCTGCTACTGATTTCAGCCATTGTATTTGTTCGTGCTTTGTGATGGAAGTTCACTTCATTTGACAAAAACTGGAGCGGCTGTAGCAAAGAATAAATGGCACCCAATTCCTTCTTGGTGCCTTGTTTTTCATTAGCGACATGTATTTACTAGTGCGTAGGTTGCTTTTAAAATGATGTGCGAATTTATGGGAACTGTAGGATGAATGTAGAATTTATTGCTGTGGTGCCGCGAATGTTCAGCCCGAGTATTGGAGCGCTTTTTAATAGTCATTTCTTGATGCCGGACCAATACCATAGGTTTTAGTCGAGACCAATAGATTCTTGTCCGGAATTGCTGCATTTTGTAAATTCACCTCGTGCGGAATTGTGTGTTGACTTGTCAGGCAGATTGTCAGGTCAGGGGGCTGTCTTAACGAAAACGTAGACGAGATGTACAAAAACACTCAGACGATGTTCTATATGGCAATAGTCCGATGATAATGCCAATGCAATCGGAAAATTGTCATACAAACCTCAACTCAAATTCCTGATTGTTTTGTTTTACTTTTGAATATTTTCCTAACATTTGGGTGTTGGAGTACCAGGAGAGAATTGTGCGTGAATTTCTGATAGAACCGGAACTGAGAGACTACATTCACCGCACTACAGTTTTGTACAGGTCCAATTGGTTTAATGTAGGACATTTTTGCATTAAGGAACGCTCTTGTGTTTCCCGATCCACAGTGTTGTGATATGGCTGTTGATCTTTAAAGCTCCGCTGCGATTGAGTTGTTACAAGCACATCATAGCTGGAATGGTGTTTTGAAATGGCCTGCTGATGTAAAAGTATTACCTGGCCCTACATCAGTATGGCTTTCCTATTTTCTAGGCCATACTCATTAGACATCAGATACAGTTTGAGCGACGTTGTGTTAATCAGATAAAGTGAATTGACGGCCTACCAGGGTGTATAACTCATTTCCTCATCATTTTCTACTAGTCTCGCATTATTTTCCGTTTAGCTTATTTTCTTGATGAAAATTCAGCTTTTAATGACTTGGAATTTCCATTGCAGTTATCGCGTTGAGATGGGAAATTTTTTTGTAGCCGTTTGTTGAAGTTTTAGGTTTGAAGACAATAACGCATTACGAACAACTGTGAAACTAAACACTGCTGCTTGAAGGCCTTAAATGGTACGTATTTCTAGCAGCAAGTTCTTGATCGAGTGAGATCTTGTTTATCGGGTGATCGAGTGCTACCATCACCCTTGTCGACGGATAATCTCTGACGGTATTTTAATAAAGTTCCACTTTGATTTTATGGACTAGTAAGCGTTGTTTATTCATGTCGAAACCAAGGGTATGCTCGATTGGACTAGTAGTGTCATTTTCTCTCATGTGTCAAAAGTTCCCATTTACTTAAAGTTATGCTTTTAATTCCACTGCTGGCCATCGAGTCATTCATGCTGCTTCGCTCATTCTCGGAATTAAAGCTCCCTGTCAGAGTAGGACGCTTCATATTACCAATTAATGCGATCTTTAAATTTTGTGACGGAATGTGAGATAGGGCCTTTGTTGCTTTAGGGACTTATTAGTGTGATTTACATTTTTGTTTGACCTGGACAACTCCTTTATCCAAAAAACGACAAACTTGAAGTTGAA